TTCTTTTTCTTGGACAAGCACCCCACTGACCGCATGGTCGGAGGCTGCAACATATAACAGCAATGGTGCTTCCGGATCCGACACTATTACCATGAGCTTGGTGGTCAAATAATTTTTGAGCTGCTGGAAAGCCTTTGATTGTTCTGGCCCCCATTCTACTTTATCTCCGCCTCTTAAGGCTTTGAAGAAAGGGAGGCTGTGTTTTGCTGGCTTTGAGATGAATCTGTTCAGTGCTACTATTCTTCCAGTGAGTTTTTGGACTTTCTTCTTGGTTGATGGTTCCACCATCGAAATTATGGCCTTGTTTTATCTGGGTTGGCTTTTATGCCTTCAGGCCCTACGATGTACCCGAGCACTTTGCCTCTGCTTACGCCGAAGACACATTTTTCTGGGTTGAGTTTTAGCCCTGCTCCTCTTAGGTTGGTGAAGGTTTCCTTTAAGTCTACTACATGGTCTCCTTCGTTCTTGCTAATCACCACAATATCGTCAATATAAGCTATGATGTTTTTCTACATCTAAGGGCCGAGGACTGCCTTCATCATCCTGGCGAAGGTTGGCCTAGCGTTTTTCAGTCCCTCAGGCATTCTTGTGTAACAATAAGTTCTGAAGGGGGTAGTGAAGCTTGTTTTCTCCTCATCTTTTTTGAGCCAGATCTGGTGGTATCCTAAGAAGCAATCCAGGAGAGAGAAACGTTTGCATCCTGTTGCTTTGTCAATGGAGGTGTCTATTTTTGGCAGTGGGAATGGATCTTTCCTGCATGCTTTATTTAGATCTGTGAAATCTATGCATATTCTCATCTTTCCATTTTTCTTTGGCACTAGTACTACATTCACTATCCATTCTGGGTACTTGACCTTTTTTATAACGTTTGTGTTTAACAACTTCTGAACTTCGGCTTTTGCTGCTAGAATTCTCTCCTCTGACATTTTCCTTTGTCACTGCTTCTTTGGTTTTATTGTGGGGTTGATATCAAGGGAGTGTTGTACAATGTCCCTGCTGACCCCTTTCAGGTCGGAGGCTGACCAGGCGAAGACGTCTTTGTTTCTGGCTAATGTTTCTAAGAGCTCTGCTTCCTCTTCTACTGACAGGTTGTCTCTGATCGTGACTTTCCTGTCTGGGACTGCATCTTCGAGTGGGACTGTCTTTGTTTTTTCTTGTTCCTTGAGATCTGTTTTTCCCTTTGGCATGTCCAGAGGCTCTGTTGAATTAGATCTGGTTGCTTCGATGGAATTGATGTTGCGTTGAGATTTGTAGATGGCTCTTTCTATGTTTCTTGCTTCCTTCTGGCTGTCGTGAACTATGATGATTCCGTGTAAGGCTGGCATTTTCATACACAGATAACCCATATGAATGGTTGTGTTGAATTTGTTTACAAACCCTCTTCCAAAGATGGCGTTGTAGGGGTAGTAGAGATCTACTACGACGAATGTTACGTATTCTGTTCTTGCGTTTTCTTGACCTTCGAGGGAGACTAGGAGGGATATTTTTCCTAATGCATCTATCCTCTTGCCTCCAAAGCCGATTAGTGGAGAGTCTGAAGGCTGCAACTGACTCCTGCTCAGCTTCATCTGGTCAAAGGTATTTACGAAGATTATATCTGCAGAGCTTTTGGAATCTATGAGAACCCTATTGATTTGCCATCCTGCAATGTTGGCCTTGATTACCAAGGCGTTTGTGTGAGGGTAGCTCTCCAGCTGTAAATCTTGTTCTGAAAAGGTGATTGGCATCTTCGACCAATCTGTGTAATGCACTGGGCCTTGAACTGCTATGTTGTTGACCAACCTAAGGTGATCCTTCTTATGTTTCTTAGTATGGAATTCCATCGAGGAGCCTCTGGCTATAGGCAGTATCATGCTGATGGTTAGAAGGGGCATATGAGGGTTAAGCTGGTTCTCTAGGTTAGGTTCGTTTTTGGGTGCTGCGAGCTGTGTCGCTGGTGGCGAAGGCAATACCTCTAGCTGTCGATTATGTATTTGGGATGGCTGGTTGGTCTCAATGAATGTTATGTGCGGAGGCCTCGGGTTTATGTAAGTGAGGTTGGCCTCTGCCCGTTGGTTATTAATCGGCCCCTGTTGTTGGGTATCTAGTCTCCATGCAGGTAGGAAGTTTGGATAGTAGGCGGTGGCTAAAGTGGACGGGTGAATTTGAGTGGAGTTTAGGCTTGGGTAAATTGGGCAATATTATTGTTGAGATGTTGCGAAGGTATGGTTCACCTCTCTAGGGGGTAATGAGGCGGAGGCTGCCGGTTTGCTCTGCTCTTGATCCTTTCTTGGGTCTCCTTTGCGTCTGGGCAGTCCCTGGTTATGTGCCCTTTGTTTTCTCCAAGAAAGAAACAATACTGCCTTCGCTGCCTTTGATTTTGGTTTCTGTTCTAATTCCTCCCTTGGCTATTTCCCTTGCCTTCAAATGGTCTCAGGGTCGTGTTGTTTTGGCCTGCCTTCGCTGGTTGTTGCCCCTGCTGGCTGCTTCCCTGCTGTTCTATGTTGAAAACTTGCTGGTTTTGCGCTTGCTGCACTTGCGACTGGCCTAGGTTTCTCCTGCCCTTCTAGGTGTTTCTGTTGTTGCTCTAGAACTGCTTCCTTTGCTTTTGTTCTTCTAGTCTTCTACGGAGGTCATTGTCAAATCTGCAATACTTCTCAAATTCGTTGTAGAGGTCTTCGATGGTCCGGGGCTTTTCCCTGGCTAGATGAGCTACGAATGGACCTATGCGAAGGCCTTTGATTGCTGCCTCTATAGCAGCGTCCTCTAGGACATTTGGTGCCTTTGCCTTTATTTGCACGAATTTCTAGAAGTAGTCCTTTAGGGCTTCTCCTTGACTCTGCTTGCATTGAAACAGGTCCATGGAAGTCAAGGATTCACTTGTGAACCCCTTGAAATTTGCTAAGATTTTGTCGTAGAGGTCTCCCCATGAATAGACAGAACTTGGCCTTAGCATTGAATACCATGCTAACATGTCGCCTTCTACTGCGATGACGAAGGACTTGGCCAGCACTGCTTCATTTCCACCAGCGGAGGCTACTGCTGCCTCAAAGCTCATGATAAATTGTCGTGGGTCTGATCTTCCATCGAACTTGGGCAGGGTGATGGGTTTGTAAGAGGGGGGCCAGGGTGAGCTATGGATTCCTTCGAATAGTGGTGATTTAGGATCGATGGTTCTGTGGGTTTGTGGCAAAGTGTAGGATGTGCCGAAGGTTGGTTGTGCTATGGAACATGGCGGGGGGTTGGGTTGGCTTTCGTTTGCTGAGTGAGGTTGGTTGGCGGTGTTGAAGTCGAGTTGCGAAGGTTGTATGCTTTGTATTTTAGCCTGTAATATGGCTAGCTGCTACTTGATTTTGGCTGCTGGGCTGATGCTTGGGCTGCTCATTGGCTCGCGACAAAGGATGCTGCGACCCTATATCTTTCTTGTTGCATGCTTTGCAACTGGGCCTGTAACTGTTGAAGTTCTTGCTCCGGAGTGGCACTTGGGGCTTGCTGCTCCTTAGATACCGGAGGCTGGTCTTCGACCGTGTTCTGTTCTTCAGCTTGATCTTCTGAGGCTGTGGCGTAAGTGCTGCGGGCTCTCATCGAGGTCTCCGCAGGAACCCTGGCTGAGGCTGCTCTCTTTTTTGACATCGTGGGTCTTGCTTGGCCAACACGCGGTGGGCGCCAATATTAGAAAACTAGGGGTTTCCAGCATGTGGGGTACGAAAGACCATCGCCCAGCCGGGTGCTATGGGTGAAGGTATGTGAGATGGAAGGTAGGTCCGGGCTCAATTAGGGTTTCATTAATGTATTCACCAACCTCCCCTTGTACAGAGTTTGTGTTTCCCTTTTTATGGGGCATTGCTTGCTAAGGTTACTCTTTACAATTCTGCCCCTTCATGGTTACAGCACATCCTCAGAATATTCCTACATTAACACAAACCGCTAAGGGTAATTTGGGTGCCTTCTTCTCCGACCTCCTTTTCTTGATGGGCCGCAACCGTGAGTCCGTCTGCGGTCCACGGCCCGGCACTGCCGCCCTTCAGGAAGTTCCTTGACCCTTTGAGCCTTCGTCTGGGGCGGCCTTCGCCCGTATTTGCGCGCTGGCTCTCCGTAGCCTTCGCGGATGCCGCCAGAGCCTTTGCCACCGACGACCTCCGGGCGCATTTCGGTCTGGTCGCCAGAGCCTCCGCCTCGGACCTCCTCCGGGCCCCTTCGTCGTAGCCTCTGGTCCTCCGCCCCGGTCAGCCAATCAGGCGGAGGTTGTCGTCTTCTTTCCCTGCACATCATCCACAAAATTCATTGACTGTCAGCTCTCGTTAGTGCTCCGGTTCCTGGCCTCCGCGACTCATAACCGTGTCCCGACAACAAGAATGTAGAGCTGTGAATAATTTGGCAAATTAAGTCTGTATATAGTATCCATATAAACCAGACGCAAGACAACATGAACATGGTTCTATAGTAAGGAAAAACTACAACCCGCTCCAAGGGAGAAGAGTATTTGTTAATTAATTTTAATTTGTGCAATAGCTTAAAGATCCAATCTATTAATTTTGGAAATTCCATAGATTATTCTAAATGTTTGGCAGCAAATTCGATTAACATTTCACTGAAATTGAAATTATTGTTCGTAATCGATTTCACAGAATGCCTAGGCCTAGGGCTTGGTGTAAAATAGGAATGTACAAACCGCCCACACTCTACTAGTGAACAAAAACAATTGAGCTGAACTGAACAAAGAATGACATGGACATACCTCTTTTGTTCTAAGAATTCATGCAGTTCGTTTCCAAATTGCTCTATATCCCATCTGGCCATGTCAACTTGCTTATACTTCTTATCGAGTTCCACTAACATCTTCTCAAATGTCCTAGTTAGATTAGAAGTCCTACCAACGGAAATAAAAGCAGAACAGCCGAATTGTTTCTTAAGCATATCATGCACTATTTTGGCTAGAGTAGTCTTACCCAATCCTCCAACCCCGACTATAGACACTATCTTCAGGCTCTGCTCAGACGCATGACCATGAGCATCATCTTCTATAGACAGCATCTTGATGACTTTGTCCCTTGACTCCTCGATACCAACCAGATCTGACTCTTTCTTGTATAGATTGATGACACGGGGTCGACGCCGGTGCTCGTGGCAAGATCAGCTCCTGCGCCTCTAACTGTGTACTTGGCACGGAGCTCAGCCAGCTCGTTGGAGAGTTTCTTGATGTCTTTAATCTTGTCAGAGATCTGATGGCGATGCTTGACCTTCTTCACCGCAGCGGTGGCCTTGCCAAGGATCTTCTTGAAGACTTCGGCATCGGTTGTGGTGGCTGCAGACTTGCCACCATCAGCCACACGCAGTATGAAGTCGTCGACAACGTCCTCCATGTCGTACGACAGCTCCCGGACCTGCCGTGCCCAGAGCTTGTCCACCTCACTGAGCTGCTCCGGTGGAACCTGAGATGAGTCCTTCAGGGAGGCTTTCAACATCAAAAGCTCCTTGGAGAGGGACTCGATGTCGGGCTTGAGGCCCTTCTGCACAACGTACTCCGCCAGGAGCAGCTCGCCCAGCTTGGGGGCCAAGCCGGCCATAGCCGGCCCCAAGGCGAGCTCCATGCTCAGCTCGATCGACCTTGGTCACACCCACTCTTGCTCCGTTGCTATTGCTTGCTTGGTACTACATACTAGTTGGCCAGTTGAGTGCAGGGCAACAAATGGCAAGATGCTATGTGAGGAGAACGATTAGAGGCTCACTGCTCATTTATTGGAGCAGCTTCAAGGACGGGCAACTTCGTTAGCAGAGTTACAATGCTTATCTTTTGATGACGAGCTGGTGCGGACCGGAAGCGAAGACGTTGAGTGTGACAAGGGAGCAGGTGGTTTAATTTTAAACTTTGATTCGTGGATAGTGACTTTGTAAAGCGTGTTAAGAAATGAACCATTGGAGGAGGCCATGTAAAGCGTGACTCTGTCATGTATTGTTAATTTCTTCCTTGTTTCTCTCTCTCTCCTACCCAATCCTTCAAACGTAAATCATGGGGCTATTGACTGGTTCTTGATCTTCAATTTTCCTTTGATTACAGTAAGTTTAGTAATTGACTTATAGCCAAGCTAGTTATCATTTTACAGATGTGGAGGAAATAAGAGAGAAGAGAGAAGAGTTTGGCTCTCATGCGAGTAATAAGATGAAAACAGGCTTATGTAGTGATGGGCCCAAATAGCAAGTGGATGTGACGTGGATGAATAGAAAAGAGAATATAAGACATGGTTAAAATGTAGTACTCCCTCCGTTCCATTTTATCTGGCGCAAGTTAGAATGACACGGTCTCCTAAATTACACTTTGACCATTCATTTGATTTATATTATATTATTTATGCTTATAAACTTATAATCATTGGATAGTATAATTCCTTATAAATCTAACCATATAAAATTTGTATTATAATAGTTAAAAATTATTAGCGTAATTATTTGTTAAAGTTTTTAAAGATTGAATATTGATATGCGTGTGCGCCACGGAGGTAGTATTACATAATAATAAAAAAGTCTTTTGCAAACAAATAGAAAATAACTATTGTATATATAGCTTTGGTCTTACAACTTATTTATAGCAAAGCACTTGGCTCTATAATTTGGTTTGCTCTCTAAGCAATTGTGATTGCTTTACTTCAATAATCAGCATCACCCCTTCATCATTTTGTGGCTTCGTGCATGTCTTTTTTTAATAAAAAAAAAAGGTCATCACTCTTATTTCACCATGGGATCACGGTCTATTAAAGAGATTATAAAAAGCCAGGGAGAGAATCAGACCAAATGCAAGGACGATCCAAGTCCCATTTCAGACTAAGACGAGCTAACTCACACAGGTATTACAGTCACGAGGAATAATTACAGAAACCACCAGAAGGACAAAATGCCTATATGAAGGACCACACGTTGAGGACATCATCGCTGCCCCCGTGAAGCCGGCATCAGAGGTGTCAGTGGCAAATTGATGGATGATCACTGTTCGTGGGCGTTAATGTATCACGACTCACGAGTGCGTGGTAACCATGGAGAGGAGTTGCAGACGCAGTGCATGTTAGGGTGAATCTGCAATGCCCCATCTATTGACGTGAGCGGAAGGAAGAATTAAGCAAGGAAGCTTCAAGGATGGGCAACTTCGCAGCTGAGTCAGAGAATGCTTATCTTTTGACGAGCTGGTGAGGACCCGAATGCAAGATGATGTTGAGTAGGACAAGGGAGCAGGTGGTTTAATTTCAAACTTTGCTTCCTGGATAGTGACTTTGTAAATTGTGTTAGGAATGAATCATTCGAGGAGGTACCTTACATATATATAACAATGACAGTCTTAGAGATAGCACTACTTGACTCCATTACTGGAGCACGAGCTGGTGCGGACCGGAATGCAAGATGATGTTTAGTAGGACAAGAGAGCAGGTGGTTTAATTTTAAACTTTGATTACTGGATAGTGACTTTGTAAATAATTGTGTTAGGAAATGATGAATCATTGGATCAGGAGGTACCTTATATGTAACAATGACGTTCTTGACTCGATCTATTATTGGAGACGCCATGTAAATCTACATTCTCGAGATACTAAGGCTAATCCCAATAGATTATTTCTTTAATGTTGTTCTTAGAATACCAAGACAATTAATTCTCACATATTTTGTATCTACCATTCTCAATTAATTAGCCATCATATCACTGATGTCCGTTTGATAAATGTTTGCAAAATACGGCGCTTGAAATAATGATAGCTCTTCGTTTCGCTAGATCTGATGGTTTAAAAATAGTAGGAACCATCTAGGAGGAACTTAAGATGTGTGCGCCGGAACCAAAAATACGTGGGCCAAGAACTAGCTTGTGATTAAATTGAAAGGGTATAATAGTACTTCCAGATGGATTTAGGGTCCGTGCAGCCCAAAAAGTTCAAGAATCACTCTTGTGGCCGCCCGTGCTTTTTTCTATGGCTGTGGCCAAACGCCATGGCTCGTCGACTTGATTTTCCTCATGTCAGTCCCCTCACACCGGCCAGCGACATGTGCCTATTTTATCTGTGTGCTAGTGAATGTGCGTGTAGTGTGGATGGCAGCAAGGTGCCGGTGATGTGAAGGTGGAAGCCACCGGCGGCAACTTGACGGTGATACGTGGGTGGGAGTGCGGAGTGGCCTGCTGCTGCAGCAGCCTGACTGGCAATATGTGCAGATGTGTGTGGTGAGGGCGGCGGCGACCTTAGGGAGGAGAGTGGCGGCGCAGCAACAGGCAGGCCGCCGGAGAGGCGGGTGGCGACCAAGGGAAGCAGCGAGACCAGCCGGCAGCAGCGAGATCTCGTGACTTGAAGAGATCGGCTTCCCGTTCCTGACGTGAAATTAGGTTCGAAAGTTAGCGATTGCATAGAATATAAGAAAAGTACGAAACTACCCTTAAAGATAATTAATTAAAATTTTAATCATCAACGGCTATAAATAATTCTTAAAGGAGGAACCACCAGTTCCTCACAAGCACAGTAACAAATCTCCCAGGAGCTTCGTATAAGGAAAATCTGGCTAGGCAATGTGCGTCAATGTTGACCCTTCTTCGTCCTTCATGTACAAATCGAACCTTCCGGAACTCAACAGATCGTGTTTTGATCTCTTGAACTACATGGCCGTGACGTCCATCGCTTGCCCTCGGATACTGCTTATAACGTTGGCGCAATCACTTGCAATCCCCAGCTGACGAAACATGAGGTCACTTGCCAGTGATAGTCCTTCCCTGCATGCCAATGCCTCCATTATCTCCGGGTCGGTAACTCCGTCCAAGACTTTTGCTGAAGCACCAAGGAAATTGCATGCCTCGTCTCGAGCAACATCTGCAACTGATCCATGTGCTCAAGTTTTTGGATGTTGCTGCATCTGCATTTATCTTCATCAATCCCTTAGAGCCGGGAGAGATACAACTAGGCGAGGCTGACTGACTGAACTTCTCCTTTCTTTCCCCTGAAGGATTGATGAAGATAAGGAGGCTGTTCAGGCCACTTGCAGTTGGGCGCGTGGGCCGTGTCAACCAGGGCCAAATGAGACGCGACGCATGTGCTCGTTGTGGGCTTGTAATTATGACATGACTAGCACCCCGGAAGTCCGACGGACGTCCGTGGCTGCAGCTCGTTTCTGCGCCAAACGGCGGCGTCTGCTGCTCACAGAACATCACCCCCACTTCACGCCTCTGTCCGCACGCCCCCCCCTCTGCTTTCCGTCCGTGCCCCCTCCGCTTGCCGCACCCGCATGCCGCGCGGCGCGGGGACTGTCTGTGCCCCTGCCGCCATCGACCTCCGCTTCCCGCACCGACTGTTGAGCAGCACTACTCCATCCCTCCGTTCCTCCCACGCGCATGCATGGCGCCCCAGCAACTGCAACAGACGATTGTCACAGGTGAGTCACTTTGCACCATGTGCAACATCCCGATCTACTTTTGAAACATCCAGATGAAACACTTACAACATTCGTATGAAACAACTAAAAGACTTCTCCTCTTCTCGATGCTGGTGACGCTCGGGGGTGGCATGAGCCCTGCATGGGCTCGCGAAACCGAAACAGACTGTAGGCGCGGGTATCCGGATGCCCCCCACGGTTGTCCGGGCACTAGCAAGACCGTTTGAACACGGCAAGAAAGCAATTACATCTTCGAGTGCAGTCCATTTGAAGCACCAACAGTGGCTCTATCGTTAAAAGATGATCAACTGACGTAACTCTCCTTCCTTATCTTGTGTCCCTTTCTGTTTTTAGATGAACTGATGTTGGAAATGTTTTGCCTTGCTACTATTTGGTGACCTCTTCAGATGGATTCTGAAGTCTATGCCTCGGAATTTGTGTCAAAGATGGGAAATCTATATCTATACCTAATAATAAAGAGGCAATAATTTGAGCTCATTTTTTTGTCTGTCTCCCTCTAACTACCGAACAATGGAGAGTTTCTTCCATCCGAATTTCTAAATATAACCCATGTTCATACTAGTTAGAATTGCTCTTGTCTAGCGTGATACGGAGTCCGATCCAAAATAGTTCTTAAAGTAACCTAAATAGATATTTTTATCCAAATTGAATTAGAATTCTAACCTAAATAGAAAAGGATTCAAGAGAAACTAGAAAAATCTTATTTTACTTCTAATCTATACCCAATATTTTTTTATCTGGCCTCTTCGCATTCTTTTTCGTTAATCTGTTGTCCGTTTTTGTTTCTTCTGAAGAGTCCATTTCTGTTTTTTTCGTCGAACCTTGGCTCCAGGTGCGTTTCTATTTCTTACATCTTAGAGTCTGATTCTGTTTCTTTCTCTTCTCATGCTTTTCTTCCTTTCTTCCTGTTGTTCCGTTTGTCTTTTTTTTTCTTTTTTCTCATTTATTTTTTCTTGTCCAATTTTTCTATTGTTCCTTTTCCATTTTTCTCTGTTTTTAGCTTGCATTGTCTTTTTTTTTTTTTTCCCTATTTCTCCCATTCAATTTTTTCGTCCTTTCCTAATTCCTTCGCTCCTGTTGTTTTTATTTTTTCATAAACTCAAAAATAAATAATAGATCCTATGGTTTTTGTTTTTTCCATAAACTCAAAAATAAATAATAAATAAATATAATATTA